ATCTACTGAAGATTCAAGGTGCATTCCCTCCACTCTATCATACAGGGCCTGCGGGAGGGAGATTTTTTGGGCTTCAGTAGACCTGACAAAGGCCTACCTCCAACCACTGTCAGTTCCTGAGGTTTTGCTATGGCAGCCACCATTTTCAATACAGGGCTCTCCCATTTGGCCTATCATCAGCCCCATGGACTTTTACCAAGCTCCTGGCAGCCATAGCGGCATACCTCAGATCCTTACCCATAAGGATCCTATGCTATTTGGATGACTTCCTGATAGCATCCTCTTCCAGACCTCAGGCAGAGGAGGATATGATGTCGACAATGAGGATCCTTCGAGAGCATGGGTTCTCGATAAACCTGGACAAATGCCACACAGTACCATCAAACCGTTTCTTGCATTTTGGGACTATCATAGACACCTTAACTGGCCAGGTCTTTCTCTCACAGGAGCGTCGAGACAGTATAAGGGATGTCACATCACAGATCCTGTCTGCTAGAGAGGCACCTATCATCTTGCTGTCTCAACTTCTCAGCAAGATGATATCGGGCATTGGGATCATTCCAGAGTCCGCTTCCATGTCCGAACCCTGCAGTGGTTCCTGCTCCCCTACCAGAAGGCGAGCAGGGGTGACTCACTAAGGAGGGGTCACATCCCCTGCTGGTTCTTCTTTCTCTCCATTGGTAGCAGTCCTGAGCCATAGATCAGGGTTGCTTGTACAGGGAGCCCCAGAGGATTACCATCACCTCTGATGCCAGTCTGTATTGTTGGGGAGCCCACCTGGGAGTTGAGGTTAGGGGATCATGGGAGGAGTTCGCCCACAACATAAATTGGTTAGAGCTCAGGGCTGCCTGCTTAACTCTCAAGGATCTAAGGCAGGAGGTGATGGGGAGACAGGTTTTTCTCCTCACAAACAATGTGGCCACCAAGGCCCACCTAAACTGGCAGGGGGGCACTCACTCCCGATCTCTAATGCAGAAGGTGACTTGGTTGTGCAGGTTGTTCAGGTACAGGCGGAGAGACACCTGTTGTCCTGCGAGCAGAAAACATCTCGGGAGTTTCCAATGTGCAAGCAGACTGGTTGAGCAGGACCACAGTCGACCAGTCAGAATGGTGACTGCATCCCAGTCTGTTCCAGGAGATGACAGAACGGTTTGGCCATCCGATTCTGGATCTCTTTGCATCTATGGAGAACTCACAGCTCCCAAGTTTCTTTGCATGGTTCCCAGCACTGGAGCAAAAGGGGACAATGCTCTCCGGTGCAGGTAGCCCCAAGGGCTATTATATGCCTTCCCCCCTTCCCCTGATTTTGAGGACAATCAGAAAGGTACTGACAGAGAAGGCAGAGGTTCTGTTGGTAGCCCCTTACTGGCCCAGGCACCCATGGTTTGCCAACCTGGTGGGTTTGTCGGTTGCCAGACCCTGGAGAATTCCCCTGCACAGGATCTCCCTCAGCCAGGGCCCGATTGAGCACCTAGATCCAGCCTGGTTTCGGTTGTCTGGCGCTTGAGTGGGTGCTCCTGAAACAGGAGTAGTTTTCCAGAAGGGTCATTCAGACCATCCAGGTGGCCAGAAGACCTTCCACAACCAGGATATACGATGCATTGTGGAGGATTTTCTGTGGCTGGTGTGCCAGTCATCTATTGGAACCTACTGCTGTGTCTGTGACAAATGTGTTAGAGTTCCTGCAGGACAGGTTTGACAGACGTCTTGCCCCCAGTACCTTGAAGAGACAGGTGGCTGCCTTGGCCTCGGACTCAACTACTCTAGCCCAACACCCCAGGGTGAAAGCCTTCTTTAGTGGAGCCACTAATTTCAAGCCACCTGTGGTCCACCATTACCCCACCTGGGACTTGCCTAGGGTCCTGCAGGCACTGACTTCTCCCCCATTTGAACCCTTGCATGAAGTCAGTCTTCACCTACTCACATGCAAGATGTCATTCTTAGCGGCCATTATTTTGGCCAGGCATATCTCGGAGTTGACGGTCTTATCCATTAGAAAGGACCTGTGTGTTTTCCATGCAGACGGGGTGGGCCATACCTTTCTGCCCAGGGTGAACTCCTTATTCCATCACTCCTAGGAGTTGATTTTGCCCGACTTCTGTCCAGGTCCTACACCTCGGATGTTAGGAGGGCCCTCCATATATACATCAAAAGGACCTCCTCTTTTAGGAGGACTGAAGCCCTGTTCTTTTCTTTCAGCCATCAACTTTGGGTCACAGGGTTTACCGTGGGTCACTGGCTTAGAGCCTGTATAGCGAAGGCCCATGAGTTACTGGCTCTTCCTGTGCCCAGGAGAATCACTGCATGCTCAACCAGGAGTACAGTGACCACTGCAGCCTGGGCAATGCAGGCTTCAGTTCTGGACTTTTGTAGAGCTGCTACTTGGTCATCTGTGACCCCATTTGTAAGAAATTATAAAATTGACTCCTTTGCTTCAGCAGAGGCATCCTTTGGAAGATGAGTCCTGCAGGGTGTTCATGTAGAAGTGGGGATCTCCGACCAATCCAGTTCCCTCCCGTAGGACAGCCATCAGCCAGTTTTGGTATGTCCCATCCTGGATTCTTCCTTTGGCTCAGTGGAGAAGGGGCGTTGGTCCTACCTGAACGCTTCTTCTCAGGGAGCTGAAGGAAGAATCCAGTCCCACCCTGTATTCTGTCTGGTCAGAGTAGGGAGAAAATGTTTTTTTCTCGCAGTATCAAATAGGCTATCTGTTAGAGGATGAGGAGCAGCTGGATTCGCTTTGACGTCGTTCAGAACTGGGGACCATTACAGGGGTGTACCCTCAGTTTTTCAACTTGGTCTGCAGATCTATGAGACTAGAGACTACCCCATCCTATCCTGGATTCTCCCTTCGGCTCCCTGAGAAGAAGTGTTTAGGTAGGACCAATGCCCCTTCTCCAAAGGACTTGAGGGCAGGACAAGAAGAAATGGGTGGAAACTATTAAGGAGAGATCCAGCCTAGAACTAAAGAGAAATTTCCTGACACTGAGAACAATTGATCAGTGGAATAGCTTACCTCTGTATGTTTGGGTGATCCACTACTAGAAGTGTTCAAGAAGAGATTGGACAGCCATTTGTTTGGAATGATGTAGGGGCTTGAGTAGGGGCTTGGGCTAGAAGATCTCCCCAAACCCTTCCAATCCTATTATTTTATGTTCTTGTTTCAGAATGAAGCATTTCTATCAAGAAAAATCTATTCAAATTCCATTATTCAATAACAAACCTTACCAAAGTTCATGCATTAGACTTTTTGTGAATCTGAAAACTTTCATATTTAATGTTGGTGGACATGTTGAAAATCTATTCCATCTTGCAGTATTTGTGAGTTGGTTTCCTATTATTAAAATACAACTGGCAAAAGATGACACCTTTTTCCAGAAAAAAGAAAAGAGATCTCTACTAGTCTAGAATTTAGCAGCAATTCTGTTATATTCTAAATGAAGAAGAATATAACACTATAACACTTTCTTCATTGTACTAATTATTGTATTTATCTATACAGACCAGGACATTTAATGTTGTGCATTGAAAATGTTCAGTTAGTTTTTGGAAAGGGACTGGTATGTGTAAATTATACTATCTTGATCAAAAGATCGTAACAAAGATTAAGAAGGCAAAAAAAAAAATCTTCCATTTTTTCCTATCTCACAATAAAAAGTGGGCTCAATTTTTCAAAATTAAACGGCAACTTTGTGAATAGAGGTCTGCTATCTTTTGCTTTTATGAGTCAACTGGGGCAGACTTCAATATGAATTCCACCTATCACACTTCACTAAATAGGCAGAACTATAACCAATTGGACAACCTCACAAGAATCCAATAACTCCTGATAATTCTTCTCGAAGAAAAATTAGAAAGCCTTAACCAAAGTCTTCTTGCAGTAGCTGTCTTTCAAAGGCAAGCTCTATATACAGAAATAATAGTCACATACTCACTTATTTGGTTTTTCTCATTGCCACTTTATGTAGTGGGTTACCTGGCCTCCTCTTTTGAGGTAGCTAGCCTATTTCCAAATAACCTTTGTTTATTGTGACCCCATTGTTTTTCTCTGACTGTATGATAATTATTACAGTCTAGGAACAAACTAAAGGTACAATTGCATTATTTTAAAGTCAAGAAAAAACAAGAAAAGGAAAAGTTGCCCCTGGTTCTTATTCTGATTTGCTTTTTTGTTTAATTACAGGAGACTTGTTGGGTTCCTATACCAACAGTGGTTTTATTAATTCAAATTATATCCTGTATAGCTAATAGAAAATAATTGGCAAGTAAATATAATTTAATAGCTGTGGGTTTTTATATTGCTAGGCACTATGTAGGAGGCTAATTCTAATGAGCCAAGGTTCAGTCTAAATGATTAAAGAAGTTAATATTTCTGTTTGGCTGATCAATTAATAAAAGCCCTTCGTCCTTTAAAAGTAAGCATGGAACTATGTCATGGGAAGCATATTGAATGTGAAAGATTTATTATGCTGTATTCACACAAACAACTGTGGTTCCGTAGCACACCAAAAGTCTTCTGATCTGCAGTGGTGAGAACTATTTTGGATATATTTCAAATCAGAAATTGAAAGAAATATGACTTTGTATATAATGAATCATTTATTATATATTGTTGAGAGCAATTCATATTCTAACTCTTAGTTACATGCTGTGCCCTTTGGCATAACATAACTCTATTAGATTTGAATGGGAATAGCCCTGTTGCCTCTTATAATGCCTTGAAAACTTGGCTGCTCCCTGGACATTAGGCCAGTCCTGTCATGGTTTCGGAAGCAAAATATGTTGCTTGGCCTCACTTATGCCGTATGGTATTGTTGTATGTTTTTTTCTCCTTTGTTTTCATTATTTTGTTTTTTTTAATCTTTTTAATACAATGTAGGTCTCTCAGAAGCCGTATTTCCAAATTTGGTGGCTCTCCACTTAATTTGTATGTCAACTCCTGACATTGTATAATTTTAGAAAAGATCACTGCTTGATTTTTCATCTTGTTTTTCTTTTAGAGTATTTCTGAGAGCCATCAACAAATTTTCTGAGACTATGAATCACAAGTTTCTGGAAAACATGAATTTTGAAGAACAAGTAAGTGGCTTATTTTTTTAAACAAAACAAAGCAAAACCAGAAATTACTTGTTTTGCATCAAGTTATTGATGAAATTATCTAGCATGTAGAAACAAATATTATTTATAGCAAGACCTCAAGAAGATAAAGACTTAGCATACCTATCCTTTTCTCAGATTGAATTCACAGATAATTAAATATTTTAATATAGCATCAGAGCAAGCAAGCAAAGTACCAAAAATGTGAATTATCAGGCAGAATTTGTTACTGCAAGTAATGTGAGGCACACAGTGTAAAATCAAAATTATATCTCAAGAAGGCCTCAGAAAGGACCTTAAGCTTCCTTTTTGTCCTACTTCTCCCAGAATGTGACAAGTAAAAATATGGTTTATAAAATTTGTATAGTAAATGTGAATAATATTAATGTAAATGAATGCATATTAAGTAATAGCTCTTTTCAAGCCAGAGCATGAATGATAAAGCATAATTTTCTTTACTCTCTGAGATTTAACAGACTGCATGTGACTGGCATGCCAGATTTTCTTTTTCTTCCCACTGTTCTTATTATTTCAGTTTTGAGACTGCGTGATTCGATAGCATTTGCCTGGCTTACAGATAAAAGTTAAAATAAAATAAAATATAACAAAAAAACAAGAAGATAGATGATGTAACCAACCTCCCCCCTGCCCCCCACCCAAGCCATTAAGCTGCTCAACTTTCAGGGGGATAAGACAAAAATAGAAATAATGTCAAAGAAACGATGGTGGATATCATTTATCGCATTGAGTTATCCTCTCTGAATTTGTCCATGGCCAGTTGTCCCACAGCAAGTTGGCCACGGCAAAATGGTCGTGGCAAGTTGGGAAGGGCAAATTGTTCCATTCTGTTCTCTTTTAGGGGCAGCCCGCAAAGTTATCTTTATTGCAAACCTACATCAGAAATTAATAATCCTGCCAAAGCAATTAACATTTAACACTTTCCTTTGATTTAGAACTTGCTATATGCTGATGTTAGAAAGTTGGAGAATTGGTTGGCATAATTGTTTTGCTGATCTTACAAGAAATGCGTGTTCTGGGAGTTTTGAATCCCTTGAAACTTACATGCAGCATCCAATGCATATTTATTGACTTTTATTATAATTTACTTATTTATGATCTAACAGCTGAGATGTTTTAAAAATTATGAAAAGTCATTCAAAGCACTTTAACTTTTTTTTTGCCAAATTGACACAATGAAAATGCAAACATCTGTTGCACCATATTCACTGTATACCAATGGGTGGACATCATACATTCCACAGCACAATTCTATTTTTCCCCTCACAAAATAACAGGACATGGCTTTCTATGGATTTCTATATGTGTGTGCTTGAATTGTGAGGGAGTTCAGTAACGGGGACAGAATAGGGAAATTTATGACTTTGCTCTAGCCCTGAATTTAGATTGATCCTTTCTCTTTAAGAATTGCACAGAAAATGGGATTCTATCAAGTGAGATTTATTCTCCTCATGTGGTGATAGAAAACTTCACGCATCAATTTCTCTCTCTCTCTCCTTCTCCCTTCCTTCATTTGTCCCTTCAGCTCCCCCTTCTGTGTTTGTTTCTCCTTTTTTCCAGATGAAGGCTTGAACATCTCAATATGGGGGGGGGGGGGGGAATAACTCAAAAGTTCCACTTTATTGAATAGAGTAGAAACAACATGAACCTTGAGATTCTTCCCATTCCTTCTCTAATCATCCTGTACTAACAATATTTTAGAAAACAAATGCAATATTTGTACAATATAAAATATATGCTATTTTAATGGACAATTTATTGTTGTTTTTCTAACATTGCTATTAGATATATACTGCATTGAGTTAAAAGAAAACAAAATAATGTTTATTCAATAATGACTAGCAAAATTTGTAAAATATATAACACAAAAGAAAAATAAATAGATGAAATAATATAAAGATAAAATAACAAAGAAAAAATACACCACTCTAATGGTCTTAATTACCTGTGAAAGGGTTAAAAAAATTATAACCTAGGAAGTAAAATAGATATCACTTAAAACAAGATAGCTAAAGCATATTAAATATAAAATGATGAATAAAAGAGGAGAGATTATTTCTGTTATTTCACTGCAGGACTGAATTTGGCTTCTGGACCATTAATAAAGGGTGTCAACCCTTTTAGGAGGTAGTTCACAGAGAAATTTCCTTCCTGGAAATTTAGATATTAGGGGTTATAAGAAATCCATTTGTCTCCAAACTTGTTAGCTTTTTAGAAAACCATGAAGATGTGATTTTTCTTTCGACATTGGGTTGCTACTTGGATCCAGCAGATATGGGATTTTGATGGCCTTATTTTGATAATCTTTTCAATGTGCTATGTTTAAATTTTTACCATAAATTGCCCAGAATCACAAGGTGAGATAGTGGCTATGGAAGAATTGTAAATTATTAAGCATACCTTTGATCTCATATTTTTATATGCTTACTTTGCACTGCCTGTATATGTTTCATTTTTTGAAAACTCACTGGAGTTAGTTGTTCCAGAAGTTTCAGGAGAAAACGCTGATCCTAATCCTTACTGGAGTGTTTTTATTTGTTTGTATGTAATTTCATGAAGACCAGAAACAGAAAGGCAACATTAGAAAAAAGAAACTTCACTTGTTTTTCAACTCAACAAGAGTGCACCATTCTATTTTCTTATCTCTTTTCCTTTGATGAACACTTCCCTCCATTTTTACAAACAAAGCTTTCTTTTAGATCAGGAGAATTTAGTGCTATAGAAACATCATGCTGATAGATGGGGATCTGGGAGAAAGGCTTTTCAAAAAGGATATTGTGCTGTATGCCACTATGATTGTGCTGTATGCCATTCAAACATGCTTTGCTGCCTCTAACTCCCATCAAAAATTATAGGCATGGTCTTACAGGCAGCAAAAGTGAGAATAAAAACGTTATGATCCTCTTAAGGCTGATTTGATTGTCCATCTAACACTGTACCTGATACAAGAATATGATTGAAAAAGTTGAAGAAAATAGTATTGGCATTGATTGGGCTGTGAAGAAACAATATGAAAAACAACAATAATGATGCTAAAATGTGTGTTTGTGCTTTAAATTAAGAAACAATTCGTTCTATCTTTTTAAAACTAAGCATTTGAATCTGTGACATTAATTAATTGTTTATCCTAACGAATTACATTGTATATTAAGTAACCTTTTTTTGATAGGCTGGCTTATGTTTTGATCATAATGCAAACTTATTTAATAAAGGGTTTTGGGACAATTAATTTTGAATTTTAATTTACCCTATGATATGATTGAGGTCTGATGTGAATACAAGGGAGACATTGCAGGGAAGGTAAGTCTGCTAATTTTAAAAATGAAAAAAGAGCAAATGGCACAGACAGTACTTTTCTTGCTTTTAGTAGCCAACATACAGTATATATAGAAAAAAAGAACATGAGATATTCAGAGGTTGGAGGCTGGAGATTTCTGGTGGTTGAAGTCTACAAGTCTTAAAGTTGCCAAGTTTGGAGACCTCTGCTCTAGTACTCTAGTACTTCACATTGTCATACATATGGCTGTATTTCTTATAGTATTCTTCTCTGAAGTTTACTAAGAGGCAGTATAGAAATAAATACCACTCACAATTTATAGTTTGCTGAAATATATAAACTATAAAAATATTATGTATGGAAAAAATCTCCCATGTGTGGAAAAATGAGGAACTATTTTGATCAAGGTGTTGCAGCTTTTTCTAGATAAATTTTGCTATAGTTAAATTTTCTATTAAAATATTGCTATACTGATATTTGAAAACTAGGGACAAAATTTAATTCCAAATCATAGAATTATGTATTTCTGTTTTTCATCATTGAGAAATGTGGTCAACATTTTATTCTTCTTCTTCTTCTTTTTCTTCAGCGTTTGTCTCGCGCTCGGGCGAGGTCCGCTAATGTCCTTGAGTACTGCTTCCACACCTCTCTGTCTGCCACGCGTGTCGGGTCTGCCTTCGCGATCTCTAGATCGGCCTTGATCGTGTCCATCCAGCGTTGTTTAGGTCTACCACGCGGTCTCGCTCCTCCGACAGTCACCTTCATTACAGATTTGATGATGGATTCTTCCTTGGCGCGGCTCACGTGGCCGAACCATCGTAGCCGGGACTGCCTCATGACCGTGGGGATGGGCACGACGTTGAACCGTCTACGCACTTCTTCGTTCCTGACGCGATCGAGTAGGGTGAGGCCTACCGACCATCGGAGCATTCGCATCTCCATTATCTGGAGTCTGCTTTCGACTTCTTTGGTCGTCGGCCAGCACTCTGCGCCGTATATGGCCACGGGGCGCACCACAGAGTTATAGATTTTCGCCTTCAGGCGCATCGGCATCTTCTTGTCACAGAGGACGCCCGTGACGGACTTCCATTTGCCCCACGCTGCGTTGATCCTGGCTGCCACCTCAGTTTGTAGTAGGCCTTCTTCCCCAAGAATAGTTCCCAGGTACTTGAAGGTGGAGGCGCGCGGTAGCTCCTGCCCGTTCACGTGGATGGAGCCTATCATTTCATTGTCAGTGACACATATAAATACCCAAACAAATACATGACACATATAAATACCCAAATATGGAATGATGATTGGGAAAGA